TTATTCAAAATATTTTTTTTAAAAAGAATAAAGTTTACTCCACAGTTGTTTTTGTTAGGTATAATTACAGATTGTACGGCTATAGAGACTAATTTGATTCTGAACTTAATAACTGCAGCAAGACTTTTGGTGGCACAGTACTGGAAGAAGGAAGATTTACCTACTATTCAAGAGTGGACATTAAAAGTAGTAAATTTAGCAGAAATGGTGAAAATTTCAGCATATCTGAAGGACCAATCAAATGAGAAATATATGTTAGAATGGAAAAGATGGATTGATTATATTCAAGGCAAATATCGGACTAAAAAATTTCAAATAGCTTATGAATGACCAAAGAGATTTTATAAAGTACTTAAATTTAATTTAGTAAAAGGGGAGTTAAAAGTTCAAGAGGGGGATAGGAGACTATAGATAATTAGCTTATGTTAGTTTATGATTGTCAAATGTTATACCCTGTATTTTGCTCTGGGAAGTGGGGGGGGGAGGAGAAGGGGAGGGTTGGAAGGGGAGGAAGGAGGGGGAAGGGGAAATGTTTGTAAAAAAATTTAAAACTTTTCAATAAAAAAAAAGAAATTTACATATTACTTGGCAGTAATTCTTCTATTATAAAATCTAATAATGATTCAAATAAGAATCTTATATCATGGTGCTTATATTGGTGCTTTCTAAGCTTGATTGTTTTCTTCCAGATGTTTCATTATGCAAAATAGGCAACATCATCAGTGTCAGTCCTAGACTAGCACTGATGATGTTACTGAGTTTGGGTAATGAAATGTCTACAAGAAAGCAACCAAGTTTAGAGACCCCCAATGACTCCTATTTCAACCCTGACCTGCAGATATTCTTCATTATTAGAATATTTTATCATTTAGATTTTTTTGGAAATAATGAAAAGCAAAAATATGGTTCCATTAGGAGGAGGAAAATGTATACTATGTGGTATATTATTATTTAATGGGATTAAACTCCTAAATTCAGCAACTGCAATCCAGTTCTATTCCTTTCCTTTTATACACATACTGTATATACTAACACAGGAGGGATGCGGTGGCTCAGTGGCTAAGACACTGAGCTTGTTGATCGAAAGTTTGGCAGTTCAGCAGTTTGAATCCCTAGTGCCGCCTTATGGGGTGAGCTCCCATTACTTGTCCCAGCTCCAACCTAGCAGTTCGAAAGCACGTAAAAAATGCAAGTTGAAAAATAGGGACCACCTTTGGTGGGAAAGTAACAATGTTCCATGCGCTTTTGGCATTTAGTCATGCTGGCCACATGACCATGGAGACATCTTTGGACAACGCTGGCTCTTCGGCTTTGAAACAGAGATGAGCACCATCCCCTAGAGTCGGGAATGACTAGCACATATATGCAAGGGGAACATTTACCTTTACCTTATACTAACACAAGCTCCTTTATCTTGGAAAACAACATTTTAGCATCAATTAGAAGCCATAGTTGGGAACAATCTAGAACAAATGAGATTGGACAACAATGACAACTGGCTTATCCGGAGAATTGGTTGGGTCGATCTTTCCAACTTTGACTTTAACAAAGCTCTTCTTTGGGAAGGTGACCCAGTTGATAATATCAAATCCAGTGTTCAAGTCTCCATTTTCATTAAAGGAGACTTGCTGTCCTGCAGTGTTATTAAATGAGATGGTTTTCAAATAGTGGTGGAGCTAAACAGAAGCAATGGCAGAAAATTAATGGGAAACAAGGAAGAAAGGATAGCAGTATAATTAAGTTGTAGGTCATCCATTTAATATAACTGAACACATCAATAGATGCTCACATCCTCTTATCTTTCTTGGTGACCTCAAACTACCTCTTATTAATTGGACCATAAACAACTGAACCCATACATGCAATCCTGTACAATTCTCAGCCCCTCTGGAGCCACCAGTGCTTCACCGGGCGCAAACTAACATGCACACACGAAAAGGAGGATTCGTTCCAAAACCCGGTTTAATGGAGGCAACACAGCAGCGTACAGTAGAGACTGAGCTGCTAAGCAAAACAAGGTCAGAGACTCTCTCGCTCTCCACCTGTACTGTTTTATAGGGCGTGGATACAGTTAACTATCATTAGGCAGGCAATGATTTCTCACAACTGTCACAATCAAAGCTGCCGCTTGTTCCATTCATGCTCATCGCAGGCATAGGACATCATTCCCCTCCGCACTATTATCTCTTCAGCAGCTGATTTACGTTCCCATTCCACCCCTCCCTCTTCTTGCCTTCTGTCCATCACCCACTATTAGTGTACATGGTGTCCTCCCCTCCATCGTGTTTTGTTGCTGGAATCCATCAGTATTCTCCAGATCCCCTTCATGGTCTTCAATACCATCCATCAAGGTGATGTGTTGTCGAGGGGTTTTTGACACTAGAGAACAATACTGTTACTAATCTGGGACTGGATCAACAAGTAACTAACAATACTAGACTCAACAACTGCCTTTTTCTCATCATCTGCAACAGTTTAAACTCAATTTATGGTCTACAAATAAAAGAACCTTTTTCCAACAATGGCCACAGCATGATTGACTTTTGTCTCAATATACGCCTTACAAAGATTATCATAATGATGGGATCCCCAATTATAACTTTAAAAAAGCCATCTATGATCTCATAAACACCATCCTCTCATCTCTTGATTGGCAAATTCTGTTCATTGGCTGTAATACTGCCAAGGACTATTTTAACATTTTTTTTGCTCGAAATCAAAAGAGTCATTAAACTATACGTACCCCCAATAACCCCCAATACCAGAAAAAAACAAATTTCCCATAACAATAAGGAAACTTCAATGCAAAAAAAAAAAAATCCTCTTTGGTGAAAAAACAAAACTGGCTATATAGTTAACTTTAAAAGCCACTACAAAACCTTATGCTGCCAGAATCAATTACCACACTAAACAAGAGGAAAATCTTCTACGCACAAAATCTACCCACGCTTTCTATAATTTTGTGAACAACAAACTTAAACACTTGAGATCCATCCCACCCCTAAAAAGGCCTAACGGTAAAGACTGTAATGGTGAAGCCGTTAAAGCCAACCTCTTTAACATTTTCTTCAGTTCAGTCTTTGTAAACAGCAATGGCTCGTGCCCCACATTTCCTAATCATACCACAACTAATTGCAATGATCTACTACATATCGATTTTACAGAAGATAACGTTGAAAAGACACTATGCAACCTAAAACCATCTCTATCTATTGGACCTAATGGATTACATACCTACTTCTTAAAAAAACTTTCCACTACCATAGCAGACCCTCTAAGCATATTCTATGAAAAATCTTTCAGGACCAGCTCCTTGCCTAACCTATGGTCACTAGCCACCATCATCCCTATCTTCAAAAAGGGTGACCCCAGATTAGTTGAAAATTACAGACCAATCTTTTTATGTTGCATCAGCTGCAAAGTCATGGAATCAATCATAAACCAATCCATTACCCTCCACTTAGAGACAACCTACTCTCTAACAAACAATTTGGTTTCAGGAAAAAATTGTCCTGTAATCTGCAACTCCTACACTGCAAAAAACATATGGACTACACAACTCAATCAGGGCAAACCAATAGATACAATTTACATAGACTTCTGTAAAGCGTTTGATTCAGTAGTACATGACAAACTACTTCTAAAACTAAAATCTTATAGCATTTCTGGATCCCTGCATAAGTGGATAGCTGCATTCCTATCAAGCAGGCAACAAGTACTCCAAATCGGGAATGCCCTATCAAACTCTGCATCTGTTAACAGAAGTGTCCCCCAAAGCAGCATTCTAGGACCAACACTCTTCATACTATACATAATGACCTTTGCGATCATATTATAAGCAACTGCATTCTCTTCGCTAATGATGTAAAACTATTCAACACCACCGCCAATGCTGCTAAGAGACCTTGACTATGTGTCAGAATGGTCAAACAATTGGCAACTCCAAAGCTCAACCAACAAATTGGCAAAACAACAACAACCAAAAACAAACAAACAAACAAACAAAAAACAGAACCCAAAATACAAGCTGTGCGAATACGACCTCATAAACAACCGTCACTCTGTCCAGGACCTTGGAGCACTCATCTTTAATAATCTAAGTGCCAGAGCTCACTGTAACAGCATCGCCAAAAAGGAATTAAGAGTTGTTAACCTAATCTTGCGAAACTTCTTCTCTGGTAATATTATACTGCAAACTAAGGCATACAAAACCTTTGCTAGACCAATTCTCAAATACAGCTCATCTGTCTGGAACCCGAACTGCATATCAGACATTAATACAATTGAGCAAGTCCAGAGATATTTCACGATTAGAGTCCTCCTCTCCTCTGCACACAACAGAATACTTATGCCACCAGGCTTGAAATTTTGGGCTTAGACAATTTAGAACTACTCTGCCTTCGGTCTGACCTAAACATAGTACACAAAATTATCTGCTACAACATCCTAACTGTCAATGACTACTTTAGCTTCAACCGCAACAATACACGAGCACACAATAGATACAAACTTAAGGTAAACTGTTCCAAACTCGTTTGCAGAAAATATGACTTCAGCAACAGAGTAGTCAATACCTGGAATGCACTACCTGATTCTTTGGTTTCATCCCCTAACCCCCATAACTTTAACATTAGACTGTCTACTATTGACCTCACCCCATTCCTAAGAGGTCTGTAAGGGGTGTGCATAAGTGCACCAATGTTCCTACCGTCCCTGTCCTATTGTCCTCATTTATTCCTACCCATTTCCTGTATTCATAATCACATTTATACTTATATCCGTTATCTTATACATGCTTGACAAAATAAATAAAATAGAATAAAATAAAAATAAATTTTATTCCTCCAACACTCATCCTGGTTTCTTCTCTGCCACAGAAGTTTGAAGATCTGACAAGCACATAGTTTCTGCAGTATCTAAACCCTTTCCTCAACATTGTTATAGGTTTGTTATCTATTCACCATTTTTTAAATCTTGGAAAGATGAGGAAAATGGAGAGATAGGAGACTTAAAATCTTTATTCCAGTGTTCTCATTGTTCTGCAGCTCATGGAATTACAGAGAGAACTGCAATGGGAAATGTTCATTCATTCTCTAATTGCCTGCCATGCTTTTTGAGTCAGAAATGTTTCTCTCCCGACTTCTCTTGTTCTGTGTTTAAATGTGGGGGAAAGCATGGCTTGTAAAGCATGTGCCACAGCACAGACTGCATTATAGATGCTGTAACTCTGCCCAGTCAGGGTGGTGTCAAACACAGACTTAGGTACATTCTCAAACTTCTCTTCTCCAGTGCACATCGTTCCAGTGTCTTCATCTAAATTATCTTTAGGAAAAGAACATTCAAAAACCTGTTCCCAAAACATTCTAAATAAATGGTCTTCCTCTACTGAAGTTGGCGTTATCATCTGAAGGAATTTATTAAATACAGGGATCTCCTTGGAAGAAACTTCAAAAGTTATAGCACCGTGGAAACCATCCATATTCAACATTTTGAGAAGGGAAAGTGATGTAAATTCCATCTGAGCTGGCATTATCCAAACTTTATCTTTTCTCTTGACTGGTACCTCTATCAATTTTTCAAAATAGGGCAACAATGCAATAGTGAAAGTGTAATCGTTTTCACAATATATGATAATCACATTGGCAGTGCTCTTCATGAAAGTCACATATATTTTACGGAAATCATTCATTATAGTTTCAACATAATTGGTAAATGTTGGCTGGACCGTCTCTTCCATGAAGTCAAAACAGATACCTTTCTCAGAAAACAAAGTAACAGCATTTTCTATTAATTGTTCACCACTCTTTTCAACTTGGAAATTCAGTCCAATCCATGTCCACCGTAAATACATCAGCAGCTGGAGAAGACCAGCAATCAGGGATTGGACCAATTACTGGTCACCATTTGGGAAAAATCGATGATAGAAAAAATCTTGTGTCCCGCCCTCTATCGCTGGAGAAGATCCATAAATGAGCTAAACGTGGGAGAAAGAGGGAACACTATTCATTCTTATTTTTGAAAATTCTATTCTTAATTTATTTATTTTTGTTGCAAATATTGAAAGTTATCTATTCACGTTCAGAAAGAATTTGCAGAATTTTTATACAACAGCTGTTAATGTAGTATATGTTCAAAGGCAGAGTCATCAGAAATGCATTAATTAATTCAGGAAATTTTTACCACAGGTTTTCAGGTCTAAAGCTTCTAGCTAAGCTAACTAAGAAAGGAAACCCATAACTACATTTCACTAGTTTTCTCCTCATAGGAAATGGAAGAAGTTTGAAGAAATAAAAATCACGATATCTTTATCTTATGAAGATAAGATAGGATGAGCAATTGAATAATATGGTTCTTGAAGAATATAAAATATGTACCACATCTCCCTTCCAGTTTTGCTTCATTTTTACCTCAAATCTTTAAGCATCCTGATATGAACGCATACCAATATGGATGCTTATATGGATATAATTTGCAATCCAACAGGTACTGAACAGGCACAATCATTTAACCCCTTCCCATTTAATGGTTTCATATTTATTTATTTATTTGTAATATGCCTCCTACTATCCATTGTATCCTATCTGAATTTCAGAAATAAGTAAACTACAGATCAGAAGTAGAAAATATACAGCTCCCTAGCAACCAACATTGGCAACCAACATATTTCAGTGGTTTGAAATACAACTAGTGCTAAATCTTTCGCTGCGTTCCTCATTTTCAGAATTTGGCAGAGGCAAAAATTGTATCTTATGCTTTAAAGTGATTTAACGCTATCACATTCAAGTTGATACAGAAACCCTGATAAAACATTCCAGCAGATGAAACTGCCCATGTCCCCCTGGGATTTAATAATCCATTGATTACTCTAATTTCAGGAGGAGGAGGAGAGGAAGAAATATATAATAATTATAATAACACTTATAACACTGTATTTAGCAAATATTAGCAAATATTAGCAACATATGCAATACGTATTATAGTAACTCAGTCAGCTAATTATCTTTTACTTCAAGTAGTTTTCCTAGATACTTCATGCATTTTACAGTATAGTGAAAGAGCTATGTTTGGATAAGTTATAAGGTAAAATAAATAGAACATTTTATTTGAATTTCTGTGAAATTATGATTCACTTGTAGCACATCACTACATTATTTTGTCATCATGAAAAATTCATCGAGAGGAAGGAAGGAAGGAAGGAAGGAAGGAAGGAAGGAAGGAAGGAAGGAAGGAAGGAAGAAAGGAAGGAAGGAAGGAAGGAAACCCTACACCACTTCAGACAAATGGTTTTCCAACATCTTCTTAAAAACTTCCAGTGCTGGAGCATTCACAACTTCTGGAAGCAAGTTGTTCCACTGATTAATTGTTCTAACTGTCAGGAAATTTCTCCTTTGTTCTAGGTTGCTTTTCTCCTTGGTTAGTTTCCACCCATTGCTTCTTGTCTTACCCTCAGGTGCTCAAATTGCAGCTCTTCCTCCTGTCTTTATCCTTACAATCTATTACACTTTGTTGAAGAACAAATCTTACCTGAGGTATCTTATAGATATTCAAGATGTTTGCCATGAAGGAAGAGATGGAAGAATTAGGTCCTGCAATAATAGAAACCACCTGGTCCTTGACATCACACTTATAGTTGGGCATGAATCTGCCCCGTGTTGAGAGAAGCTCCATTGAAGCCAAGTAGGTCCATTTCGCCGTGAAATAACTATTAGAGATTTGAATACCCAGACTGATGTTGGATAATATATTACTGTCTTCATTTATCTCCTTTACAGCAAAAACCAAGGCCAGGATATGTTGATAGTTCTGAAGGAAATATCTGTGATGAGAGATATATTACAAATCACATTTCTTTTCCTAAAGAATAGAATAGAATAGAATAGAATAGAATAGAATAGAATAGAATAGAATAGAATAGAATAGAATAGAATAGAATAGGTACTCCTAGCTGGTTTAGCTTAGTTAGAAGAATGTCTGGAATGATGGTGTTGATGGTTACACAACTACCAAATATAGCAATAGGAGAATATAAAAACTGATCATATGAATGTATAGTACTGGAAATATTTTGCAAATATTTTTTCAGAGTGTCTAAAAACATTTTTTATCAAATGGAAAATGCTCTTGGGATTTTAATTAGGAAACAGATGAATTGCTTGAAAGAACATTAATAATCTTTTAAAACTTATCTGTAACTCTTAGACATACTTCTAATCTTTTAGCTTTAACTCCTCCATCTTTTTCTTGGATTTTTTTTTTTTTTTTTGGTGGAGATAGGCATAAAGGATGTGCTTTGAAATACAATTGAGGGCAAATGTTCAGAGGACTATTATCATAAGGAAAGTTGTAGACGTTTCATTAAGACAGACTGATATTTGTAATCCATGCATGCTCAATAACTGTTTTGAAAGTCATTCAAAGTGCTGTACAGCACAATTGTTCCCCAATATTAAGTGAAACAATTAAACTATTGAATAGACTAGACTAGACTAGACTAGACTAGACTAGACTAGACTAGACTAGACTAGGATAGGATAGGATAAGATAGGATAGGATAGGATAGGATAGGATAGGATAGGATAGGATAGGATAGGATAGGATAACATAGTTGAAAGGCATGTTGGAGGTCTTCTAGTCCAACCCCCTGCTTAGGCAGGAAACAGTACACCACTTCAGACAAATGGTTTTCCAACATCTTCTTAAAAACTTCCAGTGCTGGAGCATTCACAACTTCTGGAGGAATAACAACAACCCAGAAACAATAAAATGGTGCAGGAACTTATTGAAATGATTAAAATGATGCATATATCACTGAAAACAGAATTAAATGAAATGATTATAATGCTGCATGGGAAACTTAAACCTGATGAACCAGAAATCATGTTAGAACACACTCAAGTGGATAAAGAAAGGCTTCCAGATTCTTATGGTCTGTCCAGACCTCAAAGGCCAACCCTCCCCCTTCTAATAAGTGCCGCCACGTTAACAAGGCCCACTGGACTGCAAACGCTTCCTTTTCCCATATGGGCCAACTACGTTCAGTCTTGGTCAATTTCCTGGAGGTATAGGCACATGCTGGAGGACCCCATCATTGTTCATCTGTAAGAGAACAGCGGTTCCCGCCATGTTGCTTGCATCAGTCTGGACTACAAATGCTTTGCCTGTTTCTGGGTGTTTAAGCACTGGCTCGTTTGCGAACAGGGCTTTCAATCGCTCAAACACCCACTGACATTCAATAGTCCATATCATCGGACAACCAGGGCATGGTTCTTTTTTAGTTTTTTGAGATGTTTTGTTTTCAAGAGATCAGTCAGCAGGAGAGCTACTTGGGCAAAGGACGGGATGAACTGGTGATAGAAATTAGAGAACGCCAAAAAACTCTGTAGCTGTTTTCCATTTGTCCCCTGCCCGTATTCTTATTCGGTAATACACCTCCCTGAGATCTAATTTAGTGAAAACACTGCCCTCCTCCAATCCTTCATCAATGGGATAGGATATAAGTATTCTATACAGACTGCATTAAAGTCTCGGAAGTCAACACAAAGGTGTAGCCCCCATCTTTCTTTTTGCGGAATAGGAAGGGTGCTGCCACCCGGGACCTTGCTGGCTGAATGAATCCCTTTTTAAGATTTTTTTCTATGTATGCCTTCATCTCTGTCAGTTCCTGTGGGGTCATAGAGTACATTTTGGGCTTGCGTAGTTTAGTCCTGGGGAGGATCTCAATAGTGCAATCTGTGGACTGGTGAGGAGGTAGGGTGTTACACTCTCATTCGCTAAACACCTCCTTCTGGTCTGCATATACTCTAGGGAATTCTCCATCATCCGTTGTTTTAACATGGGGTGGTGTGATACTTCGGCCGTCCCTATCTGGTCTTGGTTTTAGGGCCAATCCCTATTGGCAGGTGGCAAGAGCCAACCCCCCCCCATATCATTGGGCCCCACTTATCTAACCATGATAGGTCAAGTACTATCTCCTCCGTAATGCTCGGGACCACGATAAACCTCTGTCTCTCGATGTTGCCCTATCTCCAGTACCACCCTCTCTGTGACATGCATGGCCAACAATGACCCATCAATTTGCTCAAAGTGTATTGGCTTTCCCAATGACCTAAGGCCTACCCCCAAACTGGCGGCTACCGTAGCACTCATTAAACAACTAGTACACCCTGAATCAATCAGGGCTGTACAATTCCTTCGTTTGCTTGCCTCTACCACCATCGGTATGACAAATGGTTTGACATTAGAGTCTCCTTCCTCATTGCTTCGACTGGCCTCAGGAGTGTCAACTGTACCACTAAACTCAGTAGTGGGGTTGCTTGCCTGGCTCTCCCCCCATGATTTCTTTGGCCCATCCTGGATGGTCTTCCTAGCCATTCCCTTCTTTGTGCTGGATGAATTACTGGACTCCTTTGGACAGTTGTCAGAGCAGTCAGCAGCCCTGTACCCCTGCCACCCATACCAGAAACACATGATCAGCACTTGACTGATGGCGGCTTTCCAGGCCCAGGGAGAGGGGTCATTACGGATGGCAGGGGGCCCTGTGGCACATGGCTTTTGGTCCAGGTTGGAGATGGCAATCGACTTTGTCCTCAGGCTTCCCACTCTCTTTTTATTCTGTCCTCCCTGAATTCCACATCAAGTTCCATTGTGGCCTGGAACCATGCTGGCAATCTTGGGGGCAGTCCTTGGCATATACAAGTGCAGTGTAGAGCACAGTCAAGGCCGACCTTGAAGTGATGCACAATCAGCCACTCTGACCAACCCCGGACCTTGCCAGCTAGGTGATGGAATTCCCTGATGTATTCTCGTACAGGCCTCCCCCATTGTTTAACTATGAGCAGTTCACCCTCCACTTCCTGGATCCTTGTACTGTCCTTTAATCTCTCTTGCAATGCTGCTAAGAACAGACCAACGTCGCCCAGTTCAGCAGCATGTTCCCCTTAGAGGTTTGCCACCCTATCAGCGGTCTCTCCATTCATTACTGATGCCACCACCATTAACATGTCCCAATTGGATGTGTATAAATGGCCGTAACATTTGGTGGTTTAACACTTGGCCCAGGAAAATGGCTATTTCTCTGGGCTGCCCTTGAATGTGGCCAGCACTGGCCAGCACTGGTGGTGGATCTCAACTTCCCAATGTTCCATGGCCTACATGGCCTAGGGGGGAGTAGTTCTCATATCCTGGTGTCCTCTCCCACAGCATGCACTGACCTCCGGGGAACTGATGTGTCTGGTAACTACCCGGCCTGGGTGGCCATCAGTCTGTCCCTGCCGGCTTCTCCTGGGGTTCATACAAGAGGTCTCTGCTGGGAACCTAAAACCCACCAGCCATCCCTCCTGGCCATTGGGGTCCATGTGGTGGGTGGCCTGTTGAAGCCTGGTCCCGCCATCCACTGCCACGTCCTGGCTCATGAAACCCCACCACCCTGAACATCTCCTGCAGCACGTCTATGGTCTGGCTGCTGACTGCAGTGGAGTAGCTCCAATCATCATCTGATATCCTCCTTTCCCACCACTGGGCACTTACAGGGTAAGTGGAAAAATAGATGGCAGAGTGGCCCAGATCCCACTCCCCACTGGGCACTGGTGGCCTTTGTCCAGCCTCTGACTCCCCATGCTCCACAGGAAGCTCCCTTGTGCTGGAGTGGTCTTTGGGTCTAATGTCCAGGGATGCCTCCCCTGCCAGGTCTAGTATGGCGTTCAGTACAGTGACTTCGGTTGCTGCTGAAGAATCCTCCAAATCAGCTGCCTCTAACCTCCTGTACCTTCAGCCATGGTAATGAGCACTGTCAAACTGTCAGGTTCCGCAGAAAAAAACCCAGCCAAACGATGTTTAGCTTTGAAGCTTTTATCTTCTCTGGCACTCACTGACCATCCAAGTAATAAACAATGCAAAGAAAGGATTGACAGAGTTAACATCCTTTCTTTGCATTGTTTATTACTTGGATGGTCAGTGAGTGCTGACTCACTGGTGCTCCCCACCACCTTTAAACAGTTCCTGCCACCACACCCCCTCTACTACCCACCTGCCCTGTCACCCAGTGCTCCTGGGAGTGCTGAGACACTCTGAGTCGTCTCACAGTTGTAAGTTGTGCTCCTGAGACATGCTTACTGTTGAAGATATTCTGAGGCAGTTCTGGAGGCCCTGCAAAGGGCATGACAATGTCCAGCTGTTTGCCTCCCCTGGGATTGGCCCCTGATGACCTTTTCTCCCCCCCCGCCCAAATGATGGCTCCAAACTGAGCACATTGGAGCTGCGATTGCTAGAGGCAGCGGCCTGAGCTGCACCAGGAGAGCAGCTGATCGGCACTCCAGTACCAGTCCAAGGTTTTGAGGTCCTGCATCTCAAAAATAATAAGACCCCTGATAATAAGGCCAAGGCCATATTTTTGGGGTCAAAAGAAAATAGGACCCTGTCTTATTTTCAGGGAAACATGGTAGTACTGCGTTGACCTCATGGAGAAATAAATTGGAGCATATGATAATATGCAGATACTAAAATAACTTTAGGGAGTTCATTTATTTATAAATGTTAAATCCATCCTTCCTTCCTTCCTTCCTTCCTTCCTTCCTTCCTTCCTTCCTTCCTTCCTTCCTTCCTTCCTTCCTAACATTCCACTTCTCTTCCAGCTCTATGCTGATTGATTGAGATATAAATATTTATGCACAGTTTTGCTGAGTTTTGGCATTTGCTACTTATTATGGTTTAATTAGTGGCATCTGTTAACTGAAAATTATATTGGCAAGCTGGTATTATTATGTAGATGTCAGTTTCCTACAATATTTAAAAGCAATTCCTAATCCTACAAATAAATACATTTATTGAGCCACAGTGGCACAGTGATTAGAGTGTAATACTGCAGGCTATTTCTGCTGAGGGCTGACTACCTGCAATTTGGCAGTTCAAATCTCACCAAGCTCAAGATTGACTCAACCTTCCATCTTTCTGAGGTGGGTAAAATGAGGACCCAATTGTTGCGGGTGATATGCTGACTTTATAAACCGCTTAGAGAGGGCTAGAAAGCACTGTCAAGTGGTATATAAGTCTAAGTGCTATTGCTATTGGTATTTATATCCTCTTTTCATTCCTCTGAGTTCACTTTTAGTTATTAACTTATCCCCAAAGTTTTTCTGTGATCTATGTATTTCTCACCCATTTCCTCTTTTCCCCCTTAGTTTTGGGCTATTATTATTTTTTGAAATAGAACAAAATGAGAAAAGAAGTTCAAACTTTATCACATTTCCTCCTCCTTACCTTCCCCCTCCCTCCTTACCTTTATTTTTCTCATTAGTATGTCACACCTCAGGCTCCTATGGTCTCTTTCTTCTGTGACAGCCTTCAATATATCTTACGGCAGGTGTACTTTTCTATTTCTCACAAAAATCCACCTAGACTTACTTACTGGCTTACTTATTTACTTACTGATTTATTACATTTATTTGCCACCTATCTTTCTGTGGGCCTATTCTAGGCAGTTTACGATAACGAAACAGAAGGAAAATGAAAAGAATGTAAATAGAACAGAAGTGAAATAATAAAACCATAAAATAAACAATGACAAAGGAATACAGGGAAATAATACATCGATATGAAAACTAAAAAGATGGATGGGTGGAGAGCAGAGACAAGCAGTGAGAAGGTGGAGTCTGCCATCAATCTACCTCATGTGTTAAACTCCCATTTGATCCCAAAGCCAATTGGCAGAGTCATGTCTTAAGGCTTTTGTGAAAGGACAGGAGGGGGTGGGTGGATCTTACCTTACAGGATTAGAAGGTTCCAAAGGGTAGGTACTGCAGCAGAGAAGGTTCCTCTTCTGGATCCCAATAATCAGAGATCTTTGAACATCGGGATCCAAAATAGGCACTCTCTGCTGGCACAAGCAGGACAGACAGACTCTGCTGGCACAAGCAGGATAAGGAAGTTCATCAGAGAGCCTGGACCTATGCCCTTAAGGACTTTAATGGTCATAACCAACACCTTGAACTGCAGTCAGAAGCACATTGGTAGCCAGTGAAGTTTTTGGAACAGAGTTGGATCACTCTTGAGGACCCAAAGACCAGCTAAAGCTTTTGAGCAGACCTCAAGGGTAGCTTCATGTAGATGGAGTAGTCCAGATGAGAGATAACCAGGGCTTGAGTAACAAAGCACAGGGAGTCATGATCCAGGAAAAGTCACAACTGGTGAAGAAACTGGAGCCATGCAAAAGCTCCTGTGCTTACACCTGCCGTCTGTTCTTCAAGCTGGAGTTGTGACTTCAAGAGAACCCCCAGCTTGCAAACTGGGTTTGAATAGATAATGCAGAACTAAGGATGAAAAATTCTCACATCCTGCAGCTCCTTGTACCCAAAGCCCATCAGTTTTGCCAGGGTTATATAGGAAACATGGTATAAGAATTGCATTCAAAATGTTATATTTCACAACTGCATATTTTTGGTTTAAAAAACCAAAGAACTAGTTTTGAATCAGTTCTTCAAGATGGTCAGTAGCCCTTTAATTAAGCAAATGAGGATTTTGTCACAATTTAGAGAGGAGCAAGTAAATCAGTTTCATTTCTTTGTCAGCTGTTCCTTTCTGTTCAAATTAGGTCTCAGAATAATAATGTAACATTTGGGGGAAAAGATGCAACCCAGTAATCCAGCTGCAGAAGCCAAAATGGAAAAGATCTCCACAGCTACCATGTATTTTCCCTTGGTGCTCAGATAGGTGGGAACAAAGGATATCCAGACACTACAAAAGACCAACATGCTGAAGGTGATAAATTTGGCTTCATTAAAGCTGTCAGGTAACTTCCTAGCTAGGAAGGCTACTGAGAAGCTGAAAGCAGTCAAGAATCCCAAGAAACCAAGAACAATATAAAACATAGTGGTTGAACCTTCTTTACATTCTAGGACAATTTCTTCAGCCATGGAGTGCATGTCAGAATCTGGGAATGGGGGGGAAATTGTCAACCACACTGCACAAATGGAGAATTGTGTCAAAGAGCATGAAAGAACTATAGCGTTGGCCAGCCTTTTCCCCACCCATTTCCTCATTTTGGATCCGGGCTTGGTGGCCATGAAAGCAAGGACCACTATGATTGTTTTCCCCAATATACAAGAAAGAGCTACAGAGAAGATTATGCCAAAAGAAGTTTGTCGCATGAGACATTTTACTTGATCTGGTTGGCCAATAAAGAGCAAAGTGCAGAGGAAGGAGAGGAGGAGAGCAATGAGAAGAATATAGGTGAGGTTCCGGTTGTTGGCTTTGACAATGGGGGTGTCCCGATGCTTAATGAAGATTCCCAGGACCATAACTGAGATTAAAGAAAAGAAGGAAGCAATAGCTGTCAGGTTAATTCCCAGAGACTCTTCATGAGACAAAAATGTGATGTGTTTTGGAATGCAAAGGTTGTGAGCTTTGTTTGGGTACTGATCTTCTGAACATGGGAAACAGTCATCTGCATCTGGAAAATAAATTATTGCAGTCAAGTGTTTAATGTTATAGACAACAACCCATTACCGAATTAGTCATCATTTCAGAGATATTTCCTTTCCTGACAGTGAGCATTTGAAAATTAACTTCCTTCCTTCCTTCCTTCCTTCCTTCCTTCCTTCCTTCCTTCCTTCCCTCCCTCCCTCCCTCCCTCCCTCCCTCCCTCCCTGATACATGAAGCCCTGGTGTCCTTGAGATTTTTCTATGCTAACCCCTTTTGCAAGATGTATTCAATTGGTCCAGCTCCAGTGAGGTTGGGGAGTTGTTTCATAGAATCTGCTTTATGGGGCTGCCAAATCCCTCACTATTACTGGAATAGAGAGTTAGCAGAGAGCTTGGATAGAATTGAATAGGGTCAGGCCCATGTAACTTTTTTCATCCCATTGAACCAGCCATTCTCTGTACTTCATGGAGGATTTGAGAGAGCTGAAAAGGGTCAAGAGACATCTAGAGCATTGCTGGAGAACGATCAGGGATGAATAAGAACAATAACAAGCTAGAGTCACTATTAAGTGTGTATCCTTTTTCAAGAAGATATTGCTGAACACAAACAATTCATAACTTTGATTCAGTCTGCCACCTGCCCTTTTTAGAGAAGGTGGTTGAGCTGTAGCTCCAGAAGATCCTTGATTAAATGAATTATCTGGATCTGTTTCAGTCAGGTTTCTGGCTTGGATATGGGATGGAAATAGCCTTGGTCATTCTTTTGGATGATCCCTGGAGGGAATGGGTAGGGATAGTATGTCCATCTTTCATATAAATATTGAACAGGAGTGGAGAGAGTATGTAAAAACCTGTAAAGTGTCCAGATTCACTTAATTCAGATGATGGTATACAGTAGAAATGTAATGAATACATAAAGAAATAAATAATCTAAATTTAAATTATTGTTTGTTTCCCAAAACACACTATCAAGAAATTATGCCTGCTGAACTGAGGTCTCTCCTTTGCCATTTATTTTATACTTTCTGAACTGCAATTCCCAAAATGATAGTAGTTTTATTCCACCCAATCTTGAAATCTCTTTACTTTCATAGAAACCATAGATGAAAAGATTTATTTTTATGGTTTATATTTCCCAAAGTAAAAAAAAAAAAAGATGTCATGATATTTGAATAGACTCCTAAGTAATCAACATCTCTCCAGAATTATTGATTAATGAATTATGATAAATGAATTATGGACAAATTTGTAAAGAGATGGTAAACTACGGTTTATAATTAAAGAGTAATATAACACATTGCACAAAATACTTAGCAGAGGAATCTCTGCTTTAGATCTCTTACCTGTCTTGTTTGAAATTTTTCCTTCTGGGCATTTAAGGCAATCATAGCAGCAAAAGGGCTTTCCTTCTATTTTTATTTTGCTCCAACCTGATGAGCATGGAGGATTACACATAGAAAAGGGCTGTATCTATTGGACATTAAGAAGGAAAATTGAGAAATTTTTACTTAACGTTTCAGGAATTCTTGCATCTGAAGAATTGGATTTGACTAGTATTTAAGGCATATACAGTGGTACCTTGGAATTCAGCTGCTTTGAAACTCACTGAATTCATCATTTGTTTGGTACTCAATGCACAAGCTGAAACTTGTTGATGTTGGCTACCTTGTGACTCACAACCTTATTCCTTATGAGAGAAAAATGTTGTTTACTCATCATTTTTGGTACTTCCCGGTACCCTCCCAGTACCCTCCCGGTACCTGGTTTACTCATTGCATTTCTCAGAACCAATTAACAATGACTACAGAGGTATCACTGTATTAACAAAGTATTGTCAAACAGGCCAGAAACACAATTGGGAGAAGCAAGCAGCCTTAGTCATCTTACAAACAACACTTAAGATATGAGAAATGCAACTCTATTGCAAAAATATGATGTTGGGTAAATGTTTACCAATTAAATAAGTACACAGGCTTGGGTTGGCTATGTTGTACGAAGCATACATCCTTAGGTAACCATGTGACAGAAAGTGGTATAATTTAGGAAGTGCAGCCATATTGGTTATTTTTTTAATACTCTTTTGTTATTTGTATAATCAAGCAAGATGTCCTTTGCCACAATTGGTGAAATGACGAAGAGAATCCTCAGAAAGGATTCGTTTCTAAAATGAAATTATGTCTTAATGGCTCCAAGGATCTTCTATATTGTCTACTTGAAAGGATGTTTAATTGCTTCTTTGGAAGAACTGTGGAATACTTCCATAACCAGAAGAACCTTGTATTTAAAAATTTGAAGTTCATTTTAACTGGAAAGCATTCTTGCACTATAACATTATAAAAGAATTTATATCACAACCCAAAGTCTATCTTTGAATCTGATGGAAAATTAGATTTCCAGTATTGGTTCCATGCATTGCATTTATAGCTTTACTTAGTGATTTACATTATGTTAACTAGTTTTTTCCAATTTAAAACTCCAAACAATTTTCAGACAGATATTTTACAATAAAATGATTCATGCATATTTATAAATAGTAGACATTTTACCCTTTGGCTTATCAAGCAATATCTTCTCACCTTTACTTTGTTATTTTACTTCTCTTATGCTACTTTTGCTTATATATTTTTTCTAAAAAGTGATATGGTATCTGGGTTAGTCATCCAATCATCACATCTTAATTAAATATTTCTAATGGTTTGTGTTGTGGAGGTTAATAAATCAATAAACCATGAACCTCTATCTCTATGAAACTCTACTTAAACAAATGAGCCTCTGAAGCAGCCTACAGCAAATGTTTTTATTTACACAATAAAAACATAATAATATATATACAATTAATAAACAGCACTAAATTACTATTATAAATTATACTGTCAGCTATCTATCTATCTATCTATCTATTCTTTCTAATCTATGCTATCTATGAATATTCTTCCTCAGAAGAGATACCACTTTATACCACAGAACTGCTCTTCTAACGGACTTCCAGACTGCTCACAGTTATCTAAAGGAATATCCTAGAATACAATACAATACTATACAGAAGCGCAAACTGAACAGCAAGGTGAAGAGCAAACTGAATACCAAACTGAAGAGCTAGGGTTTCTGTTAAGAATCACCTTTTTTACTGTTAACTGTGACAGTTAGGGGAGGGCCCTGGAGATTCAAATATATTAGCTGCCCTCTGATTGGCCCACACATCTGTACATTCCAAAAGCCATCAATAGGCACAGCTATAGAGAAATAATTTTTCTCTAACAGTTTGGAATCTAGTTTTCTCTAAGGTCCATGGTAATTTCTGTTAGTGTCGAATCTGATTTGACCAAATCAAATCATTACCCTGAAAGATATATGTAGTCTCCCCATCTGGAAATGTTTTACCTTTGAGGCAGATTAAGTTGCAAACCATTCTATTGCCAACCCTGAAGCTGACCTGCCCATGGCCATTTTAATGCTTCAGCATTGCCACACTGGAGATGAGGGATAGGGTGGGGGGAATAGAGATAGCTGGTGTTTTATAGCCAAAATAAAATACTTTCCCCTGGGAACCAAGGACATTCTAACACCTGACCAGAGAGAGGAGGAGCGACATTACCAGGCGACCGGATGGCACCTTGATTGGATCATGTGACTGATTAGGGAAGGGGAAATACTTTTACTTTTAATTAGGTGAAAACCACAGGAACCTTCAGAGTTGGTTTTCACCAGAGTTGTGCCAATAAAGCTTTTTCTTTGAGGAATCTACTTGCCTCATAGTTTTGTTTGCTATGGGTGTATTATTTGGAACCCTGACATCTATATTCAAATAGGCTATGAAAATTCAACCATCCCAGGTTAATTTATGCTTTACTGCTACCTTTGTAAAGAAATACAGGCCTTTCATCTATGTACTGTATTTTTAAAAAATGTTGCAAACATGTTCAGTAATTCTAACTCTGGGGATGAATCAAAACTTCCTCAATGGCTTTAGCATCTCTTTTTCTCATATGGAGATTCAGTGAACACAAATCTTAGCATTGATGGAGAATTAGAGAGATGGTGGGGAAATAGAGAGCCTCTTGTACCCAGCAGTCCTTATAACTGCATTTACTGCATCATCATCTTTGTTTAACAACCCCATCATCCCTTGTGGGGTGGAGTCTGGGCAACTGAATGGAGTGTTAGCAAAGTGTTTACTGGCTGGATGCCCTTCCTGATGCCAATGCAGAGAGTTTTCAGCGGATATATTCTCATTGTGTCCAGAGAGAGAAATATCTGCCTCTAGTATTGAACTCACCTCTAGGCCACCACACCACTCCTAACTGCATTTACTGCATGATGCTAATTAAATGAAGCTGACTTCATAATAGGAGTGTTTGGTGTCTGGCAGAAGTGGGTTTCAGCAGGTTCTGACCAGTTCTGGAGAACCGGTAGTGGAAATTTTGAGTAGTTCAGAGAACCGGTAGTAAAAATTCTGACTGGCCCAGCCCCTATCTATTGTCTGCCTCCCAAGTAACAACTGATTGGGAGGAAATGGGGATTTTGCAGTAACCTTTTCCTGGATTGGGAAGGGAATTGAGATTTTACAGTATCTTCCCCTTGCCACGCCAACCAAGCCACGCCGACCAAGCCATGCCCACAGAACCACTAGTAAAAAATTTTGAAACCCACCACTGGTGTCTGGGAAGGAAAACTGTTAATATACTTCTATCTGTTACACAGAGGATGTTGCAGATTGCAATTTTTAGGAAGCTGTGTGTTACTAAAGCATGCCACTTTACATAGTGTTGCACCGACCAGTCCGCTCCCACAGAGAGGGTCTCCTCAGGGTGCCATCGGCCAAGTTATGTTGGCTGGCGACACGCAGGGGGAGGGCCTTCTCTGTGGGAGCCCCAGCCCTGTGGAATGAACTGCCCCCGGAAATACGTAAGATCTCCAACCTCCGGGTGTTTCGCTGCGCACTGAAGACCCTGTTGTTCCGCCAGGCCAGGCTATCAACATAATAATTTTAAATTGGGGTATTTTAAATTTCTGGGATTTTAATTGGAGCCTAATTATTTAATGATTTTAAATTTTAATCGTTGTTTTGTTTTGTGTTTTTAAATAGGCTGTACACCACCCTGAGTCCTTCGGGAGAAGGGCGGTATAGAAATAAAATAATAATAATCATATTATTATTATTATTATTATTATTATTATTATTTATTATTATTATTATTATTATTATTATTATTATTATTATTATTATTTGAGGTCCTGCTTCTAAAACTCCAACACTCCCAGAAATCATGTAAACTCTGGGACAGAGTTTTTCCTTATATTTTGTAAATCCCCCTTGATAGAAATCTCTCTTCTAATCAATGCAAACATTTTGCATTGGTTTTTTATTTTAGGATAATCATGTTCACGAGTCACTTTGAGAAAAGAGTCATTGTATGCCTGTAATTCCTGAAAGAACTTTCTGAACATTGAAGCAGTAACTATAAATAAAGTAAATTATTCACCATTGTTTGATATTGGTGCCAAACTACCTGGTTAAACATGGTGGGCCAGATGATCTCCTCTGCAGAAAGAGTAAGGAGATTTTCAGGGGGAGTCACTGGAGCTATGTTTCCAATTTTGATTCGATGAAATGATTGGTTGGGGAAGGTGACCCAGTTGATAACATCAAATCCAGTTGCTAGTTCTCCTCTTTCATCAAAGGAAACCACGTCTCCAGCATTATTGTTAAAAGAAACAGCTTTCAGATACCAATGGAACTAAATGGAAATCATTAAAAAAAATTATAACAATTGGAAGTAGTGAGCAAGTGTGAATGTAGGATCTTTCATACATTAGGTGTTATTCTTTTAAAGCAGACCAAACAGCAAACATAATATGAGGAATATTTATTGTTATGGGGTATGATAACAGAAACTTGAATACCTTCAGGAATTTCCTTCTAAGGCAGAATTAGTCTCTCTCTCACTCTCTCTTCTTTCCTGGGACTAAATTGCCGTTTATTTTCTCTTAACAGTCCTTCTAATGACTTTTGCATCCTTTCTAAAAAACATTTGGGTATTTAGAATTCCTTTAGTATTCCCATGCATCTTGGAAGTAATATTATCATCTATGTCAGTTAGACCAATAATGTTGACTCTTAATGGCACCCTGGTTACTTGCTGTTGCTCACAAGCTCTGCTGTACCAAAATACTGTGAGCATTTGATCTATGAAGAACTGTCTATCGATCACTCTTCAATGCCATTGTTTTCTTTTTTTCTTATGTATCTCATACGCTTCTCTTCACTGTGGAATCAAAATGCAGGACCCCAAGCAAATAATCAAGACTCACTGCAGTTCAATGCCCTTCCTTCCTTCCTTCCTTCCTTCCTTCCTTCCTTCCTTCCTTCCTTCCTTCCTTCCTTCCTTCCTTCCTCCCTCCCTCCCTCCCTCCCTCCCTCTCATAATCTTCTCCTCACTGTGAAATCAAAACTCAGAACCCAAGCAAATAAGCAAAAATAATTAAAGTATTAATTCTTAACCTAGGACACTGACAAAATTCCACCCAGAAACTAGTGGAGGGAACTTCTGCAGAAAGCTTATATTTCAAAAGGAAGGCAAATATGCATGCATATCTATTCATAAGTAATTACATAATAGATCTCAAGTTACTTCCACCTCTTTTCTTATTTAAAGAGAAAAATGGTCTTACTTAGAAGAAGAATTTGCATCTTAAGATTTACCAGTTCCTAGTGGAATGTTTTGATGGAACTATCACAAACCACTGTGGGATACAGGGATACATTCCTTACATCCTATTAAACAGTCCCATTCATTTGGAAACTGATTTACTCCACACTCCTTCCAAAACTTCTCTTGAATTAACCTTTGACATTGCTTCCTTCTCATTGTGCATTGTTGTATCCCGTGTTTAATGTTATCCGGAATTATTATTTGAAGTTCTGACATATCACATATGAGTTAATTCAGCTTCAGAATGCTCTTATTAGTTATACAACTCCAGAATATTAGCTGAACATTTATATGACTGGCCCTTACATAAAGGGATATTTTTATTCATGTCATTTTTACCTGCCAGGACTGTTGACTGAGTTCCCAAGCATTTCCTCTTTTTCTGCTCTTAGATGAAAGCATGGCTTGCAAAGCATGGGCCACTGCATAGACAGCATTGTAAATGCTATAACTTTGCCCAGTTATACTAGATTCAATCACAGATTCAGGAAGAGTCTCCAGTGACTCCTCACCAGTGCATTGATTGTCACTGTTCTCATCTAAGCCAGCATTTGGGAAAGAACATTCAAATGCATTTTCCCAAAACACTCTTGTCAAACTGTCCTCTTCTTCTGAAGAAGGCTTTCTCATCTGAGTAAATTTCTTAAACCCTAATATTTCCTTTGAGGAAACTGCCAATGATAGTGCACCATGGATGATATCCAGGCTTTTGTATCTTTGAAATGGGATTGATGTGAATTCCATCTGTGCTGGCATGACCCAAACTTTATCTTTTCTCTTCATTGGCATGTCTTCATATTCTGAAGCAAAAGGTAACATTCTAAGAACAGCCATGTCCTCATTTTCACCATATGTGATTACAACATTGGCAGTACCTCTCATAATAGCCTTATACAGCAAAACAAAATAATTAAATTGAATTTCAATATCTTTGGCAACAGATTCCATTGGCATTTCTTCCATGAAATCAAAACAGATGCCTTTCTTAGAAAATATATGAAGCCTATTTTGTATCAACCTTTTCCCCCTTTCAGAGTTTGGGACAATGAGCCCAATCCATTTCCACTGGAAGTGAAGCAACAATTGGACCAGCCCCATAATTTGAAGGTCTTCATTTGGAAATAATTGATGGAAGAAAGCAGCTTGAATGTTGTCATCTATCTCTGCAGTAGAACCATATATGAACTAAGAAAAAGAAAACAATTAGAGTATATACTTCCAAATCACTTATGTCTATTTTAAGGATCTTATTTAAATGTTATGTTATGGTCCACCAGCAGCCTGCAGAGCTGGCAATGGAGTTGGACAGGGAGGAGGCTGGGGAGGACAATGGGCCAGTCCTGGAGTCAGGGGAAGGCCAGGATGAGAGCTTTGCGTCGGAGGCAGAGATGGGGCCAGGACCATCTGGGAGCGATGCACGGACTCCAGAACCTCCAGAGGCGAATAGCAGAGAGGCAGAGGAACAGGAGGAGCCTGTTCCTAGTGCACATTTCCAAAGAGCTGCCAGAAGGCAAGAGACGCTAAAGCAAAAAAGACAACTCGGGAGCCCTCCCAGAAGGCTTAAAAGAGGAGTAACAGCTCTTGGGATCTTTGTAGGAAAGCTTCTGAACTTTTGCCAAGAAAAGCCTTTGTTAGAATGCCAAAGTAGGCAAAATTGGTGATAAGGCCGAAGGACTGTTTATGAAGTATTTGTTTTGGACTTAATTTGGACTAAGCTGAGAATGAAGTAATTCTCAGCTGTTCTTATAAAATATGTTGGTTTAGGACTGATTGTGTCTGGTAATAACTACTTGGTCCTAGATCACAACATATTAATGTGCTCCAGACAAGGGCAGAGTTGATTATCATTTATATATTCCAGTACAATTTCTATGATAATTGTTTCTTTTTGTTTTAATAAACAAAGCTCCAACTGCTTCATATCCAACTGCAAGGATGGATATGAACTTCTGGATTATGCTATCTTAAAACATGTTTCAATGACATAATTTACCCTATAGATTAGCTATACATAACTTTCTAGCATTTTAAATCATTCCTCTCTTTCCCACCCTGGATGAAATATATTTTGATGTTTAGCTTGATTGTGATTTTAACTATATGAGGCAATGTTGGTTATCCCTTTGTTTTGAATGTTTTTGACACTAATAGAGTCATAAAGATAAAATTTGGAATAGAAATTAAACTAAATCAAGCAAGAAATACTGTATTTAGATTTGACTCCTTTCTTTATGGGATGGCTCTTACCTGTGGGATCTTATATATATTCAGAATGTTTGACATGAACTGACCAATGTAAGCATTATGTCCTGCAATCACAGATATTACATTGTCCTTGAGGTCACATTTGTAGTTTGGATTGAATCTTCCCTTTGTAGAGAGAAGCTCCAAGGTAGCCAGATAAATCCATCTTGCCAGAATATAGTTATTGGACATATGGATACCAAGGGTGATGTTTGGCAAGATCCTGGAATTCTCATTGATTTCTTTGATTGCAAATTCCAAAGCCAAGATGTGCTGGTAGTTTTGCATATAAAATCTGAAATGAGTTTTAGAACAACTGTAGCCAAATCTGGGATTGGCTGCATTCGAATTGTATCACACAAATTTAGATTCTGCAGGCCACAAGCACTGATACAGGTGGATGCTCTAGCATCACAGAAACAATTTGTTTAAAATATTCAAGAAAGAGGTCAAAGCAATATAACAATCCATATGCATTCAGGCAGCCCAATTGCAAAATGTAATAAACATCAATAATTAGTGGGTTTTTACCCCTTAATATGGAGGTATATATTTAATTTTACTTCCTACCCTAATATTCTAATTCACTTATTCAATACACTAGAAATTTCTGTGGAATTTTGGATATAATATCTGCATGTAGGACTAACTGCAATCATGCACACCTTAACATATTGCTGGTAAGAAGCAATGCTTTGCAGGCATTTATTTCTTTTGAACTTCATCGAGTTATAGCCATATGAAAAAGGTGTATTAAAATTAAACTGATACCTACTAGAATGGTACCAAAGCCATACAAATAAAAACATATTGGAAAATAACTTGCGTAAGAGATGGAAATTGAAGCAATATTATTGAGAAATAATAGTGCAGGATAGGCAATTTAACATTCATCCTCCATCCTAATTCAGTCATGTCATAGACTTTAACTATTGTCTGTATTTGCATTACTTAAAAACAGGAATTCCATACATGAAATCATCAACCAGTTCATCAGATGGACTTCTTCTGAATGTTACTTCATCAGACATCATGTAAATTTGAGACGAAATGCCCGCAATGACCAAATCTTCTGAATGATATCGCTTGTGCTTAATAAAAGGCTGATTTCCTACAGAACATTTACCAAGGGTTGTATCAGCTTCTACATAGAAGGACAATATTGCTACAGATGCAAAGTATAATATCATTTTGCAGACCAATTCATGTCTCAGCCATCTGTTCAATCCCTTAGAATTAGGCATTTGAAATAGGACAGCCTGAGATACAGTGTTCCATGAGGCTGCTTTAAAGTAGAGGTTTACTTTTTTAAAAATCAGAATGACAGGACATTGTCCTCTAGCTGTACCCTTGGAGAAAAAAGAATATTGCATCTTTATTGCTGTTAAAATACTGTACATTACTTCTATGTTTTTCTCTAACTCCTTAGAGATTGAAAATAAAAATGTATAATTGATAATGATTATACAGATCTAGACATGCTCAAAGCAACTTGTGATTTACAGGGTATTGTAACCTGGAATTAAAGACAAAATAATAGTGACGGGGGGACAGAAAGAACTCAATGAGAAATGTAAAAAGTTTTGTTCTCAGACTATTGACTCTGGAGGGCCATGATTTACAACTGGGTTGACATGCCTTCTTGAGGTATGACAAAAGGAAGACCCATGGTTACTTTCAAAGACATTACATAAAGAATGCACTATTGTTATTATGGGAGAAAATTAGAGAACATTATTTGAGGATACCAGTTTGGCTTTCAATCGACCCAAATGTCATTAACATGGGAAATATTGTTAGATATAAAGATATTTTGAATGAAAAGGGGGAATTTAAAACTAAACAAGAGCTGAGTGATCAAGGGAACAACATGGCACAGTATTCGCAGAAATGTGCAGAAATGAATAGATTAACACTTGCTCTAAAGGAGAAACAACAAACTGAATATTATATGACATGGGAATTATTTTATGAGTGGTTGGAAAACAAAAATAGAAGTTAGACATAAATGGAGATCAGTGAAATATAGAAAACATGTTAAGATAGAGAAGCAAACAATATGATTATTCTTACTAAAATAACCATTAAGATTATTATATTTAATATTATATTCTTATTAGAAGATATGTTAATACAGAGAAATGAATAGATATATTATGTGCATTATTTTTGTAAGATTACAGAATCAATATCAATGTAATGAATACTGAAGTGGTTTGGGAATGACGAGAGGCACAAGCAAGCTAGTGACAACAGCTCTTTAATATACAGTGAGACTTCAGCAAAAACTCAGAGGCTGCAGCCCTCCTTATATACAATCCTGGAGGGACTGTCAGCCAATCAGGAACTTAGGCAGGTTTGAAACTCCCGCTGAAAAGTATCAATACATAACACCCCTCCCTTCCCAGAAGGCACTAACACTCAAATATTTACATAAGTACACACAAAATCACACAGGTGCCCTGGCCGAGTTCTCGTTCTAGTTGACCTGCGCAGTTCAGTGTTTGGTGGGGCGTCAATCTGGTCGGAGGGACTTTCTGTCTCTCCCGGCTCCGCCAATGGAACCTCCTGGATTTTGTCCGGGGCATGGTTATCCCCGGTTGGGAGTGGTGACTCGCTGGGGCAGCGCTGGAACCAGGGCTTGTCAGCTAAGTATTCTCTCGAACCCGGGCTTGAGTTAGCTGTTTTGGGAAAGTTGTTGTAGTTAGGTTCGGAGATTTCTAAGTTGATGTTTGCTTCACCGACTATTCTTTTTCTAAGTTGGTCTATGTGGCGTTTCCAGAGTCTGTCCACCCCTACGTCTACCGTGTATGATTTTGGGCCGGTTATGCCCACTATGGTTCCTGCAACCCATAGAGGTCTGCTAGCATAATTGCGAGTGAACACCGGGGACCCCACCTGGAACTGTCTTAGTCCAGTGGTCTCTCCCTTGAAATTCTCATGTGTGTAATTGGGGTGAAGCCTGTCTAACACGCACCAAAGCTTCCTGCCCATGAGGAGTTCGGCTGGGCTTCTCCCTGTGGCTGTGCATGGTGTGGCATGCTGGACAGCTAGAAATTGATCTATCCTGGCCTGCCAGTCCCCGTTATCTAGCCTGGACAAGGCTTCTTTGGCCATTCTTACGAAACATTCAGCCAAGCCATTAGAAGCCGGATGGAACGGGGCCGATAGGGCATGGCGGATGCCCAGTCCGGCCAGGTAGCCCTCAAACAGGGTCGCTGTGAATTGAGGGCCGTTGTCAGATACCAGAGTATCCGGTAGGCCATGGGTGGCAAATAGTTTGCGAAGGACTTTGATGACTGCCTCGGCTGTGGTTGAGGGCATTAGTATTATTTCGAGCCATTTCGAAAAGGCATCGACTACGATTAAAAATGTTTGCCCGTGGAAGGGGCCGGCAAAGTCAATATGGATCCTCCCCCATGGCCCTTTTGGTTTCTCTCACTCTCGGATGGGCGCTATCGGGGGATCGGGCCGAGACTCCTGACAGGGTCTGCACTTCCCCACCCACTCGGATATGACTTGGTCCATGTTGGGCCACCAAACGTAACTGCGGGCTAAACTTTTCATTCGGACAATTCCTGGGTGCCCCTCGTGCAGTAACTCCAAAACCCTCGTTCTCAGTTTCGTTGGTATTACCACCCTATCACCCCACAACAAACAACCCCCTTGCTTAAACAATTCGTTATGTTTGTTAACATACCCCTGGTATTCCCCACCGACCACCTTGACCACCACCCCTTAAGGACCCAACCCATTACAGTACGAATTACAGGGTCCCTAGCAGAGGCTTTCGCCACCTCGCAAGAGGAAATAGGTCCCAGAGTCATAGCGTCGATCAGCAGAACGGGGGTCTCCGGCGTGGGGTTTACCAGCAAATCGGGGAGGGGGCAGCGGCTGAGGGCGTCCGCGTGGCCCAAGGTCCGTCCGGGTCGATGGACAAGCTGGTATGAATAGGCCGATAGAAAAATGGCCCACCTAGTCAACCGTGGGGACAGGGCAGTGGGGGTGGGTTTGTCATCGGCCAAAAGTCCCAGCAGGGGCCGTTGGTCAGTCACAAGTTTGAATTGACGGCCATAGAGGTATTCATGGAACTTTTTAACCCCCGCAATTGCAGCCAGAGCCTCTCTGTCCAACTGACTATAGTTCCGCTCTGCGCTTGACAGGGTGCGAGAGTAAAACGCAATGGGCGCCTCTAGGCCGTTTGGCAGTCTATGGCCTAGGATGGCACCAACTCCTACGGGGGAGGCGTCACAAACCAATACGAGCGGTAGCGCTGAGTTGTATTGGATTAGGAAACTGTCCTCAGATAGAAGTCTCTTTACCGCCTCAAAAGCGGCTGCTTGTGGTTTCCCCCAGACCCATGGTACATTCTTTCCCAATAGTTTGTGTAGGGGATCTGCGATGGTAGCCTTGTCCTTTAAGAACATCGAATAGAAATTGAGCAGTCCAAGGAAGGCTTGGAGCTCCGCTTTGGTCTTTGGGGCTGGCGCGTTTTTGATAGCTCTCACTTTGCTTTCGGTGGGGTGGATGCCTGTGCCATCCACCCTGTATCCCAAAAATTCGACTGAGGGGACAGCGATCATGCACTTATTTTTCTTTAATTTAAGTCCCGCTTCCCTAAATCTGGAAAGGACGTTCCTTACTCTGTCCCCAAGTTGACGTTCATCCTGAGCGCTGATTAAAACATTGTCAAAATAGGGCACCACCCCCGGAAGCCCTTGCAAGAGGCGCTCCATGGTGCTTTGAAATAGGCCGGGTGCGACGCTCACACCAAACTGGAGCCTGGTGCATTTGAATGCACCCCTATGAGTTACAATAGTCTGTGCCTCTGCCGTGGCGTCATCGACTGGTAATTGTTGGTAGGCCTGAGCTAGGTCTAATTTGGCAAAGATTTTGCTGGGCCCCAGGGAGTGTAGTAGATGATGCACGATCGGCACCGGATAGGCGCTCGGCTGCAAAGCCTTGTTGATCGTGCAGTTGTAGTCGGCACAAATTCTGATTGAGCCATCAGATTTAACTGGGGTCATTATGGGGGTCTCCCATTTCGCATGGTCAATGGGGACCAACACCCCTTGTTTAATTAATTTGTCCAGTTCTGCATCGATCTTTGGTTTCAATGCGAAAGGCACCCGTCTGGCTTTAAATCTTATTTGGACTACGTTGGGGTCTAGGTTTAGGGAGATAGGGGTCCCCACATACTTGCCCAACGTGTCCCTGAAGATGTCCTGGAACTCGTTCAGGAGGCTGTCCTTCAGTGATGGCTCGGACATTTGGTGGACGCCGGTGAAACCCATGCCAAGGGCTCGGAACCACCCCATGCCCAGAAGGCTAGGTAGCTGCTTGGTGACGATGGTCAGCGGCAGGTCTTTTTCAAAGTCTCCGTAGGTGACTCGAAACGTGCCCACACCTTCGAGAGGGACCCGGTTCCCCTGGTAGTCTAGGATGCGCAGTCTTTGCTTGGATAGCTGGTCCTTCTGGAATGACGGCAGGAGGGTCTTCAGGGTTGCCCACGACATTATGGAGAGAGCTGATCCGGTGTCGATCTCCATTGAGCATGGCTTGCCGTTGATTTCGACCACCGTGCTGACTTTGTCCTCGATCGCCGTGCTGGCCTGGTCGATGTGTATGCTGCGGCCATCTCGCGGTTCAAATTCGCGCCGCTTCTTCGCGCCGCCTTCTCTCATTGGATGCTTCTGGCGCGTTGGTTCTGGTTGGCTGCGGCGCTCACGTGGTTGGTGTTTTCTGGGCAGAATGGCTCTACAGACTCGTGCCAAGTGCCCTTTCTTCTCGCAACGCCTGCAAATAGCCTCTCTGTACTTGCAGGACAGTCTATCATGGTGCCCACCACAGCTGGGGCAGTTGCGCCGGGGGCTGCCTGCATCTTTTCTGTGGTGTTCTGTTCAGAAGACGTCCTCATCGGACTCAGACTCCGAGCTGGATCCAGCATCTTCCCTGTGCACTGGTGTGGACTTGGGACTGTCTTTGCTGGTCAGTGGACGCTACAGCGTTTCTGCAGCTTTTGTAGAAGCTTCATGAGCCCTGGCCTCATCTAGGGCTCCAGCAAGCATTAGATCAGGCTTAGCGAGTAGTCGCCTTTGCAGTCTAATATCTCGAACGCCACAGATTAGCTGCTCAAGCAGCGCATCGTCCAAGTCTCTATAGTCGCAATGTGTTGCGGCTTTACGCAGGCTAGCCATGTAAGCGCTGACCGGTTCTCCCTCTCATTGTATGCGCTGTCTAAGTTGGTATCGTTGCACAAACTTGGAGGGCACGGGAGCATAGTGAGCCCGGAGAGTTGCCATCAGGGTGTCCCAGGAAACGGTATGGGCTGGCGTTGGCTCACACAGTGACTCCGCCATTTCGAACACGTCCAGTCCGCAGTGGCTTAGGAAGAGGGCCCTCTTCCGATTAGCGGAGAGCCCTTGCATGTCGCTGGCTTCGAGCGAGCACTCGAACCTTGTTAGGTATGAGACCCATTTTTCGCGGGTCGGATCAAAAGGCTTGGGCGGCACGTAGGCAGACATGTTCAGTATGCCTCCTGTAGTTCGCCTCGTCGCCTAGCTGAAGCTTGTGGTCTCACTGGTTCACTTCTTGTGGCCTCGATCCCACCTTCATCGCCAATGAAGTGGTTTGGGAATAACGAGAGGCACAAGCAAGCTAGTGACAACAGCTCTTTAATATACAGTGAGACTTCAGCAAAAACTCAGAGGCTGCAGCCCTCCTTATATACAATCCTGGAGGGACTGTCAGCCAATCAGGAACTTAGGCAGGTTTGAAACTCCCGCTGAAAAGTATCAATACATAACAAATACTGTTGTAAATTTTGATTGTTATTGCAGAAAGATTTTTTTACCCAGATGACATTCTGTTTAATGGAAGATGGAATGTTTAAGTCAAAATATTAAAAAGAAAAATTAAAGTAAAAAGTTTTGTTCTCCAGTATCTGCAGTTGGCTTCCAAATAAGAAAACAGCTGAATTCAAATGGAAATTTCAATCATGATTAATTAAATAACTCCTCCTCCTCCTCCTCCTCCTCCTCCTCCTCCTCCTCCTCCTCCCTTTCCTTGTCAACTCTTAAAATAGGTTGGGTGAATCTGAAAACAGTAACTGTGAGAATGACCTTAGAGTCCTAATGGATGATCATTTAAATATGAGTTAGCAGTGTGCGGCAGCAGCCAAAGAAATTGTTTGTTGTTTAAAAAGCTAAATGTTTGTTGTATAAAGAAGCATAAAATTGGTTGCAGGACTTCGGTTTGGCTCATCTAGAGAAAACTATTAGGGAGGACATGATAGCAGTATTCCAGTATTTGAGAGGTTGCCACAAAGGGAGGGGCGTGTCAATTTATTTTCCAAAGCATCAGAAGGCAGGATAAGAAACAATGGATGGAAACTAATCAAGGAGAGAAGCAACCTGGAATTAAGGAGAAATGTGGGTAGTAATAATAAAAAGGAGAACTTTAAAAATTACATTGGGATTAACAATGGAAGAAATAGAAAAAGGGGAAAGAAACAAAGAAAGAAAAGAGGGTGGAATAGAAAGAATATAAAAAACTTAAATGATTGCACTAGGATTATCAGTGAGAAAATAAGAAAAAGGGAAAAGGGATGGAAAATAAAGGGAAAGACACAGCAAAATAGAAGAGTTTATGACCCTAAAAAACAAAATGATTATACTGGGATTAACAGTGGAAAGATAAGAAAGAAGGAAAAGAGAGTTCAGGATTTTAAAGTACAAAAGACAAGAAGGGGAAATAAAAATAAAAATAAAATAAAAGATAGAAAGGGAGAAAGAAATGGAAGAGGAATATGGGGTAAATGAAATGAATACTAGAGAAAAGATGAAATTGTATTTTTAATGAAATGATTTTACACTATATGAAAGTATTATGAATGTAATAATTGGAATATCTTTAATTAATGAAGGGGACTATAATAACTGAATATTTTTAATTACATATTTGGAAATTAACTGAATAAGAAAAGAAAGCTGAATTGTAAATATTGATGTATAGAAAGAGCAGACCGCTGTGTATAGCTGAAAAGAAAAGTGATATTTTTCTTTTTTGTGTTATTTTTTGTTGTATGTATGTTTGATTTTTAATGTGTTTTTAATGTGTTTAAAATAAAAAACTTTTTATAAAAAAAAGAAAAAGAAGATAAAAAAAGAAAGAAAAGAAAGCTGAAATGATATTGGATTATGAATTAATTAGATATATTTAACTGGTTTTTATAAAAATGTTGAAGTGTACTACTTGGAACAGTTGATAAAGAAAAAATATTTGAGATTGGAACAAGAGAATTTAAGAAAATAATTGGGAATTGTATTATGTTGTATGAATTTAAATTTAGGGATATTGGAGTAAGATTGACACTTAAGTGATTTTTTATTGAATATGTTTAACTAATTAGTGAAATTATGATAAATGGATTATTTTTAAAATGAGAGAGAAGAATATAAATAATTCATGAAGTAATAGAATGGTAATAATGAATTATTTAAGTCAATATGAAGAAATAACAAAATATAGGGATGTTTAAGAATTGAAAATAAGACCCAGAAATAAGAAGTTTAAGATATGAATTTGTAATAGTTGGAACATTTGGGTTAAGATATATATTTAATTAATTTTTATTAATATGTTGAATTGTATTATTTGGAATAGTTGATAAAAGAATCATTGGTGATTAAAGTAAGAGAATTTAAGGAAATAATTAGGGATTGTATTATGTTATGTGAATTTAAATTTAGGGATTCAAATTTTAAGGAGGTAAAAATAAAATTGAACTATATTAAGATAAGAAGTTAAGATGAAGGGTAATATTGGTTTCTTAAAATTAGAGAGAATAAATGCTGTGAGAAAAATTAAACATATAAAATTGTGTTAAAGATGAACAAAAATCTGTACAAATTTAAAACCGGGCCAATATTCTGTTCAGAAAAGATGTATTATATGTTTGTTTGTGTGTTTAAAAAAAATTAAAAAAACTTTACCTCCCCCCTCCCCCAAAAAAAAAGACTGAATAGTCTTGCGCAGGACCACTCTTACTCATCTGGTTTGAAATTTTCCCTTTTGCACATTGAAGGCATTTGGTATTCAGGAAACCAGCCTTTACCTTTTTAGGAATAAAAACAGAGACTATGAACAGGCCAAAGACAGTTTATTGTAACTTTGCAAAGTGTCTCCCCTCCAAAGGAAAAGGGAGCAATTAGGTCCTCTACTCACGGATCGTAAATACTATTTTCAGGATACAGGAGTCCAATACAACAGGATAAAAGCAGTCCCTAGACTAGAGCATCAGTTTCAGATCTTATATAACATATTTGGCACATGTTCCGCCCTGGAAATTCCCTTTCTTTTCAGTAGAAATACCCTACAAAAAATACCACTTATGTACGTGGTATAATTATGTGCGTACTTCCCCTTCTTAAAGGGGCAGAGTGACCCAGAACATTGGTTTCCTCAAAAATATGCATCCTACAAAACAAGCATCTTAGAAACTACACAGTTCCTCTTCTCATGTTCTTATTATGTTCCTTTAGTTATATAATCAGGTTATACAAGGTAAAATAAGGCACTCAGAAAGCGGTTGAACCTATCAAGAAGTGAAAGCAGGATTTCAACCTCAAACTGAAGACCCATTGACTCTTTTCTTGGACCAAATTGCCTTGCCAGTAACAAGATCACATTCTTGTTCATAGATAGCATTAAATACTTTTTTTTAGTACTTTTGAACCATACCTTTGTTACTGACTTCTTGCCCCTGACATTCCAATTGTCTTTGTTATGATGGCTTATAGACCTGCTTCCATTAGGAAGGTTAAAAAGAAATGTCATGATTTAATTGCATTACAAATACGATAACCAAAGTGCTTAAAGACCTCTCAAAAGAATAAATAAAGGTGGGTGGGATCCTATAACATGATGGGCCAATTTCCCTTTGGCTCTTTGTGAAAAAAAAATAATCATGTTTTAATGTATTCCCTAACAGGTCAACATCAGATAGTTCTATTGTTCCAGGGGATTAAAACTTTACAGCTACAAAACTAGTATGTGTTCATTTGAATTTTCATTCTTTTTCTCTATCTCTTTTATAGCTTTCGCCTATGAGCTAAAGATAAATAAATATCATTATTCTACTTTCTCCACAAAGTCTCCCAGGAGCTTCACTAAACATTCATTTCCCCTATAATTAATATGGCTTCTTCTCAACTCTTTTAGGAATTCTCAGGCACAGCACGAAAAAAATAGCTCAAGCTTGAAAGGGTCTGTTAATTGTGGGACTATAATGCTA